TGTCTACCTACCTTACAACACTACTAGGGCTGGGTTAATTAAAAAAGGGGTAAAGAGTCTAAATCCAAAAAACATTCTACATGGATGGAAAAGACACATTTGTGAAGTGCCTGCTAAACTGTCTTTTAAGTGTGTGCTTGTGTCTATATGTCACCTATTAGTCTCAACTCATAACCTGTTGGTGAAGCTATTGAGAATAAGTGACTGTGGCTGAGGCACAGTGACCTAATTCTTAGCTATAGGTGGACATCTACAGTCACTGTAAGTGTTACAGCCCTGAGGGGAAAGTTTTCCCCAGTGGAAGTGTTGCAGTTCTGAAGGGAAAGGTATCCTGGCAGTCAGGAGCCAAGGGATATCACAAAGTCATACTGCACAAAAACCTCACACGAGAGATGGCTGAGAAGCAGTAAAGAACAAAGTGGGAGGCAGGCTTATATAGGGATTTCTTGGGGGTGGAATTTTCTAGAGTGGAGATTTCCAAAGTGGGGATTGTTTGGATTTTAAGTCCTGAGCTTGGAGCAAGATCATGGTTTGGTGTTTTTACAAAATCCATTAAGGGAGTTTAAGTGTTTTATCCTACAGTCACCAAAAGATTTGGTATTGGCTCAGGACCCCCCAAGACCAAGTTCTCAGCACAAAAGATTCATTTTCCACAGAGGGACAGAGAGCAGGGGATGAGAGATAGTCAGGAGATAGAGGATGCAGGAGAAGGAGAAGGGAACCAGGGAGAGAGGGAAAGGGTATTTGTTCCAGAGGGGGACAGAGGACTGCCCCTGGAAAGAGGGAGACAGATATGGCCCATAGGCAAATGGAAGTTATAAAGGTAAAAGGGGAAACCCTGTTAAGATCAGGTGTTTAATTTTAATTGTGCATGTTAATTAGGTGAGCCAAAGGGGATTTTGATTACTGGACTTCAATAATACTTTGATAGCTGGACCTTTGCGGTCAGCCTCAGGAGGAGGAAATAGCTAAATAAGAAAATAGACCTTAGTGGCTAGCTTTAGGAATGTAATCTAATGGTTTTTAGCAAGGCAGAGGTATAACACGAGTTCTAATAGGTCTTAACAATAAAAGCTTGGAGTCATTTGTAGTGAAAAATGCTGAAAGATCAGAGAGAAGAAGGATCAAAGCCACAGCTACCTTACAAGCTCAACCTCCCAACTGAGAAGAGACTGAGCTCCTGTCTCTTCCTGCCTTATTACTTCCTCTCTCTACCCAGCCATATCACTTCCTGTCTGCCTGTTCAGACCTCCAGACCTTTAAGGTTAAGTAGTGGCTAGCTCCACTCTCTGATTTTGAGAGTATAAACAAGATATCACCACATAGAGGGAATCTGGGCAAAGGGCAAAACCTACCAGAGCCATGCCTGCCATGATCCAGCTGGTCAGGGTCCCTAAATTCCCATTATTTTGTTTTATTACTGGGTCTCTGGGTGTTGGGTGAATGGGTGTCATTGTCTCTGACTGCTTCCTGCTGATATTGTGGCATTGTTGTTAGGGGATTCAAGGAAGCTGGGTTTCTGGTCAAGGTTGGGAAAAGCAAACTGTGTCAGTAGATATCCAGGTTCTCTGGGACCATCTGAGACTAAGGAAGTGTAGTCTGTGAGGCTGGGCCAGGATGTCGATTTCTAGGTAACAATTGGGGCTGGCACTGGAGTTGCTGGAGCACTTAGTGGTTGAATTAAAATCTGTTGGTACAGACAGACTAGGGACAGTGGTAAAGTTGAGTTCAGAAAAACATTCTATTTTGGATGTACATTTGGAATTTTTAGGTTCATGGTCCAGGTAATTGGGAAGAGCAGTCCAAAGACTAGGAAAGGGGGAAGAGACTCCACCCTTAGGAGTAGGCAGTAGGCAGGGAAACCTAGGCTGTTGGTGGGCAGGAGTGCTTATCTGGAGTCTTTTGAGAGCTCTTGAGAGGAGCTAGGAAAATTTAGCTTGTTTATATAAGGTTAAGGGGGTACAGCTATTATCTGAAAGCAAGGTCCATTGTGTTGGGGAGAATATAACTTGAGAGGCTTCTATTCCATCAGAATAGTCTTCCTGGGGTGTTCAGGTGGGTTCTGAAATTGAAATGTTTTAGGAACATTAATGATTGGGGATGCTCTTGGCAAATGGTGAGAGGGACGGTCTATAAAAGGTTTGAGGGTTGGTGTGGAAAGGTTGAGACAACTTGGCTTCAGTTCCCAAAGGGGTTCTTAGGTGGTCAGGGTAACAAGTGGTCACTAGTGAGGTTAGGGCATTGTCAACAGGTTTACTGGTAGAGACAGGGACTGTGACTAATGGAGGGCTTTGAAGAGAGGTGAACAGAAAGCAGTGGGAATCATTGAAGGAGGTTTCAGTGAAGACGAGGAAAGAGTTTGTTGGATGACTGTCTTCCGATTTTTATTGCCATGAGGAGACACTGTCTTAGATAGGGTTTCCATTTTTTTTTGTGTGTGTGTGTGAAGGGACACCATGACCACGGCAACTCCTAGAAAGGAAAACATTTGATGGGGTGGCTTACTTACATTTCTGAGGTTCAGTCCATTATCATCATGGTGGGGAGTATGGCAGCGTGCAGGCAGACATGGTGCAGACTACATCTTCATCAGAAGGCATAAGGAAGTGGACTGAGACACTGGGCAGTATCTGGAGTCTATATGAGACCTCAAGCCTACCTCCACAGTGACAAACTTCCTCCAACAAGACCAGACCTACTCAAAAAAGGCCACATCTCCTAATAGTGCCTTTGTAGATGCCTAAAGAAGAAAGGATAGCTATCCAGAAAAAATCACCAAATAAAGAAGAATCTGACATATGAGACCAATATCTATTACAGGGTAAAATCCCTATGAGATTATGGGGGCCAATTACATTTAGACTACCACATTTCCACCCTGGATCCCATAAGCTTGTAACAATATCATAATAATAATGTAAAATGCATTTAGTCTAACTTCAAAAGTCTCCATAGTCTATCACAATCTCAATAGTCTCTAAATGTCCAAAGTTCAAAGTCTCTTCTGAAACTCATGCAATCTCTTAACCATAATCCCCTATATAATCAAAAGAAGTCACAGACTTCCAGCATATAATGGCAGAAGATATACATTACTCTTCAAAAAACGGAAAGCTGGTGAAGATGTAATTAAACAAGGAGGCCATGTTCCAGTCCCAGCAAGCCACAGAACTTGCAGTTTTGATCATGTGGTTCTGGCTTTAGATTTAAGAGTGGAAGAAATGGGCTATGGAATTTGCCTCTGAATCTAAGAAAAACCATTGAGGCCAGGTGTGTCTCTGAATGGCGGCCTAGAGGAGGCCATTGCATGAAGCTGTGTTGTTGAAGCCAAGATTGCCTTGGAGACCCCAAGGTGTTGCGATGCCAGAGCCATGCTAAGGAAAGCTGCTAACTTAAGGGAGTGGAACCAACCCAAGAGAGAGAACTACGTTGTAGTCGACAGAGCTGAAAGGACTTGGAGATCTAAAAAGCTCTTTGACATCAGGCATAGAGATGCAGACTTTGGACTTTGCCCAGCTGGTTTTCAGTCTTGCTTTGGTCCCGTATTTCCTCACTATGCTCCCTTCCCCCACAGTGATTCACCTCCTCCAATAAGGCCACAACTTCTCCAACATGGCCACAGCTCCTAATAGTGTCATTCCTTGTGGGCCAAGCATTCAAACACATGAGTCCTATCTGTTAGAATCATCACACTCCACTCCCTGGCCCCATGGGCTTCTAGCCATAACACAATGCAAAAGGCATTTAGTCTAACTTCGAAAGTCCCCATAGTCTATCACTGTCTTAAAAGTCCAAAGTTCAAAATCTCTTCTGAGATTCGTGCAATTTCTTAACTGTAATCTCCTATAAAGTCAAAACAACAAAAAATGGATCACATACTTCCAACATATATGCACATGATATGCATTGCCATTCCAAAATGGAGAAAGGGGAGGATAGTGAAAAAATATGGATCAAATTAAGACAAACCCCAGTGGAGCAAAGCCGCTGCTCCGTATCTCTATGTCTGCTGTCAAAGCACTCTTTAGATTGCCAACTCCTTTCAGCTCTGTTGATTGTAACCTACTTCTCTCCCTTGGGCTGGTTCCACTCCCTGTTAGCAGCTCTCCTCAGCAGGTATCTCACAGCTCTGGCGTCTCCAACATTTTGGGGTCTCCAAGGCAAATCCAGACTTCAACTGAACAGCTTCACACAATGACCTCTCTAGGCTTCCAGGAAGGGATAGCCCCTTTCTTCTATCCTTAACTTTAAAGCCGGAACCATGTGACTGAAGCTGCCAAGTTCTGCTGCTTGCTGGGGCTAGAATGTGGCCTCCTTGTTCAATTACATCTTCACCAGCTTTCTGTTTTGGACAGTTTCCTTCACTGCCTGAACTTGGCTATCTTGTCCTCCAACTCAGAGATCTTCCAGCCTCTTTCTGCAGAGTGCTGGGATTAAAGGCATATGCCACCACACCTGGACCTAAGCTTTTCTTTCTTTTTCACAAGTTGGAAGCTTAGCTGGGTGGGGTCTCGCCCTCAGATCACCACTCCCTTTCTTCCATTTCTTAGTCTGCTTATCTCCTTGAACACAGGGTTTACTCCATTCCACTTCCTGGTACCCCCTTTCTCTTCAGTCGGTAGCTTTTGTATTTTCTAGTTAGGCTTGCTCCTTTTCATTATAAATCTCTGTAAGAAGGAGCATTAGTAAGCACACAACAGAGTCTATACTAGTCTGCTTTGAGATTTCCTTTCCCAATTCCATTAATACAAAACTCTTAACTTTAGCCTCAGGCAGACTTTTTGGACAAGTACAAAAGGCATCCACATTCTTTACAAAACTATCACAAGAATGATCTCTAGGCAACATACTAAAATTCTTTTCCTCTGAAACCTCTTGATCCAGATTCCCAAAGTTCAAATCACCCTTAGCCCCACTGCCTTTCATGTTCTTGTTATGCCCAAATTCTGAAACCCCCAAATCACCAAGAGACCCATCCATTTTGATGTGAAAGCAAAGAGTCTTATTGTTGCTGTTTATTGAGCTAACCCCATTAGCTTGGGCCCTTCTTCCATTTATCATGGTGGATGCTTGGAGAAGAACCCTGGAAGCCACAAGGCAGGGAATATATCGGGTAGCAAAGGGGAGTGTCTAGGGGTATGAAACAGTCTCAGGATTGGTGCTCTTCCAGGCTTGGGTGATCTGTCCTGTGTTGATTTGTCAACTGGTTGTTAAGGCCCATAGGCCTTCCCAGGATGGTTGCTATGCTCTGCATGTCACTGTTATGCACTTGTATCATAAAGCACACCCAGAGCCTTAAAGCACAGTCCCACCAGCTAACTTCTGATTGGTTTCTTGCCAGGAGGAGGGTTTCTGATGTCTAGTGACTAGGACAGGAGGGGCAAGGTCAGGCAGGAACATGTTAGCCTGTCATGGCTGCTAAAACAGGGGACTGGTCCCTTCACCGGACCCATAAATCATTTTCTCAAACCTTCATGGCTTACTTAAACTTTCATATCTTCAGACCTTAACACGTTTTCTTAGATCTGCATCACTTGTGTCATTCATTTTCCTTGACTTACATAACTTACTATGTTTCTCATAGCCTTCAGAAACTCAAATCTTTCTTAGTGTGAACCCTGTCAGCAATGAAAACTATACATATGAAATGAACTGACCAGGTAGCTGGGTGTTTGCTTCTGTTAAAGTCACAGTTAACTATCCATGTCATCAGAGACCTGTGAACGATAAATTTGGGTAGGAAGTATAATTTAACTGAATTTTGTAGTAAGTAAAATGACAGAGATGTAAACAGTCATTTGAGGTTTATGTGGATCATTGCAGAAGCAGTAGTCGGCCTTCAGATGTCAACAAAGAGCAGTGAACCTTCAGTTGTCAGACTCAGGTCTGGGAATTTTTCCTGTAGAGGAAGAGCTTGAGAAAATTGACTTTACTTTGACGAGGCAGAATACAGCAATCAATCCAAAAGTGTCCACAGTGTGTGCAGGTTCCTGGAGGCAGGTGAGCATGTGGCCTTTTGCCCCATGCAGGTTTGCCCAGTGGATGGTGATAGTACAGTCTAGGTGGAGTTGTCAGAGGGGTCTTCCATATGTTCTTTTTGGAGACCTTAAAGTTTTTTTGTTAGGGGGTGTCTCTTTATTGTGGGAAGTTTTGTATCGACCATTTAAAATGCCATATTCATTATGAGGAGTTTGAGGAGCAAGTATTTATTAAGTATACCTGATTTTAGGCTGAACTTGAAAACACATGCAGGAGGTTGAATAAGGCCAATTTCTGTAAATCATAAATGTAGCAAACTTTTGTCATTACAGAATATACAGAATATCACAGTTTCTTTTGTGGGACTGAGTTTAAGCTGTAGGCAGTGTCAGGACAGGAACGGGTTAATAAATTGGGAAACTGGAAGGGCCTTGGCTGAGGGAGGTGAGATTAAATTATAGATTGCTGCTGACCACAGCTATAAGACCATAACAGAGGAGGTGGAGCTGACATGGGGGCAAGTATGGCCCTGGCCCTGATGGGCAGACTGTAGATGGGTGGGGGAATTTGTTTCCAGGACAGGAATGGGGGCAGGGCACTGCATCAGATTGAAAGGAGCATTTTTGTTTGTTTGTTTGTTTGTTTGTTTGTTTTTTGGAGTGATGGCACTGAGGAGAGGGCAGGACTGTTGGTCAGTGCAGCTGGAACAAACTTTGGGACCTCAGTGGTGGAGGTGGGTAGGGTCACAGTAGCCCTACAGGGGCCTAAGGAAGCTGCAGAACTTCCAGGGTGAAAATGAGGGATGGGAGGGTTGGCAGAGAGACCCAGAAGGACCTAAGAGTTTGCTATGGCTGAGACCTAGGCCTCAGGAAGCTGTAGTTCCCAGGGGCACAGGAGTGACAGATTGTTAAGGAGTGTTGGAGAGGCTGATGAGCTTTGACTCCTTGTTTCAGGTCAGGCTGGACTAGGCCTTGCCGAGTGGAGGCAGCTGACACAGGAGTGAGTGTTGAAGGCATAGGTGGAGAGAAGGAGGGGGTGGGGTTGTTGTAGCTTTACCAGATCTCAGGCAAGGTTAAAGGAAGTGGTGAAGTGGTGGCGCAACAGTTTAGGCCTGAGGGGCGTGGCCTGTGGCATTCCTGGCTAAGCCTTGGCTATTCCATAGCCACATGCTGCACAGCAGCAGTCAGGGCTGGCTGCACTGGTAGCAGAGCAGGTGGCAGGCACAGAGTGCCTGGCAGTCAGTATTCCTGCAGCACACAGAGGGTTAAATAGGACATGAAACTGCACAAAGGCTTACAACAGCATGTAGAAAAGTCCAGAGAGTGTAAGCGGTACACAGAAGCCTTGAGGCAGACCAAAGAGGAAGCAGAGATACACTCAGGAGCCAAAGCTATTGTTAAGCGCTAAAGTGCACCGTTAATATGAATTTTTCGGATGGCAATTCTATCACCAGTGGAGGCTGGTGAGGGATCAACTGGAGGGCTTCTGTGGTTTCCAGGACTCTGGAGGAGGAAGTGTCATTTGAGGGAATTTCCCATCTGTGCCAATGGCTGGTTTTGCGGCTGTGCCCACAGGTGCTAGTGAATCCTTTACTTCTTGCGACTATCCCCTCCCCGGATTTCAAAGCTCTCCATTTTACCTCCACAAATAAGGAATAGCTGAAGCTTGGCCAAAATGTCTTCTCCTCTTCTCAGAATTCATCAAGTGCTTTGTTTTTTCTCCACAAATAAGCAATACCTAAACACCAAGATGGATACACTGTCGTCTCCCAGGTTCCAGATCAAAGCAAGCCCTCTGTTTTGTCTTCCGAATGTCTTTAGAGTCTGGCAGTTTCCCTCATTCAGCATCCTAGGGCAGATCTTGCCTGACCTAGTGCAGAAGAGGCCTGTGAAAGGTTCAGGCTTTAATACCGATTGGCTCTACCTCTTTAAGAGACAGACCCCACCCCCTGACAACAGTCAGGGCACACACAGGGACGAGCCATCACCACATCACCCACCACGCATTTACAGCCTGCGTGAGGACTCTGGGCATGCGTGTCTTCCCTTTAAAAGTTCCAACTTACCTGCTTCACTCTGTCTCTGCTTCTTCTTCACTCTGCTTTTCTCTTCTCCTCTCTCTGTTTGCTTCTGCTTCTGCTTCTCTTCTCTCTCTCTATGGCGACTGGCCATGGTGGTCAGCCATTAACTCTGTTTCTCTTCTCTCTTAGTCTCTCTACTTTGTTGGGCCTAATAATAAACTGGTTAAAATGTCTCATCTTGCACCTCCTCTTTTTCTTTATATCAAATTTAAACAAAAACATAACATTTGGCGCCCAACTCGGTTTAGGCTCTCTCTGTAAGCTCTCTTGCAGCTTGCTGGTGGGATAGGCTTTCTCTGTAACCTCTCCTGCCAGGGGCATGAGAAATTTCAGGGATCCTAAAATCTGAACTCATAACCAGCTTTCCATCTTGGTTTTTCCTGACACTTCCTCCTGCCTGCAGCGGCCTGAGATGCCGGGACTCTGTACACTTAAACTCGCCACTTTTCAAACTAAGGCTCTCTGGGACTCACTCATCTGCCTTTTCGCTGCAATCTGGTAAGATACCCCTTACTCTTTCCATGGGGAAGACCCAGCACTCCATTTTGGAGTTCACTGCCTTTTGGTCTACTGGGTCCATTTTTCAGTTTTGGACTGCTGAGCCTCTTTCAGGCTTTCTGCTGTGTGCTCTCAGACAGAGCAATCTGTGACATTTTTGGCCTAGATCATGGGAAATACATTTTACGGGACCTTTCGGTTACTGCCAGTGGGTAGGTAAATGAACGGAGTTCTTCTGCCTCCCAGTGGGAACTTTCTTTCACCTGGGAATGTCCCTCATTGTCTGTTTTATCTCTGACCGTGTTTTTGTTTGTTTGTTTTCATTTTTCCACACGAATGAGGTTTGAGGTTTTTGGTTCAGATCCACATGGGATCTTTCAGGTTTTGTACCCTAGCCTGTCCATAGACTGGTGCATTCCTTTCCCAGACCTATGGTGGTCTTTTTGGATGTTGTGCTGTTTGGACTCTGGTGTCCTATTGGTTTCACACATCTTACTGCCTCACTCATGGTGGAAAACTTCTTCTGGCAGTTGAGAATGTGCTTACGGGGGCTGCCATCTTGGCCATGTGGTCTGACCTGGGGGCTGCCATCCTGACCACGTGACCTAGCTTAGGTCTGCCCACTCAGTTCAGTGACTTGCACAGGCAAGCACTGCCAACAGACATCTTTTTATTTTTTGTCTCTGATTTCTTCTTTCACTTGTTGGGTGCATCTCCCACAGGTCAGGTCTAGCACCCTGCTCTGGGAGTGGTGTGTTTTGTTTTGGACTGCTGGGTTCTCCTTGGTATCGGGGCTGCTGAGCTCCCCATCAGACTCCTGTGTCTATCTGGCATGGCCCTGGCATCACTTCCAGGCTGATGAGCTTCCGGAGAGTGGATTTTTGTCATTTTTGTTTGACTCATCCATGGGAAATGCATAAGGAACCTTTCTGGTTGCAGCCAATAGGTGGATAAACAGAAAAAAAGCAGCTTATGGTTGCCACCATCTTGGCCATGTGGGCTAACCTGGGGGCTATTCTAACGCCTGTGCCAACAAACCTGGCTGCCAGATCTTTTTGCTTTTTTTCTTTGTTTGTCCGTGATTTCTTCTTTCACTGGCTTTGTTGCTCATGGCTTGTTTACAGAATGCTGTGTCTTTCCAGGGCCCTCTGTTTAAGTCTACTCTGTCCCTTTAAATCTCCTGTCTGCTTGCTACAATATACAGGTCAGAGATTGCATTCTGGTTCCCCTTTTAATGTTATGCAGTCCTGATTGTCTCTGTGCCTGTAATTTAACTTTATACTTCTAACTCTGTATACAACTTAAATTAAACTGTGCTAAGTCTCATATTTCTAAATTGCTATGTATCTTGAAATGATAGTAAACATTTAAAGTCATAAAGGTCTATTTCAAATTAACAAAATATTATACCACTCAGTTCATCCTGTAAGCCATTTACAAAGGTACAGCTTTTTATTACAAAAAGGGATTTTTCTCTAACTAAAGGCAGATTTTTAACTGTTGAGATACTCAACAGACAGACAGTCCTCAAGTGCTCAGAGATCTAGAGAATATGGCATTTAAAATGTTTTGTTAAAAAGATTTTTATAACAGAGAGATAGGCCAGCTGCTGGCTCTACCCCATTTCCTCCAAGAAGACTGATGGGCACTAAAGAAACTTCATCTCTAGTCAGTGACAACGCTGGTCACTGAGCAACCCTGCCCTTCACCTCAACTGCTACAAAGTACCCCAGACCATGGACAAGAGGACAGTGGAATCAACTTTCTCCACGTTGCTTGGGCCAACAGTAGGGAGCCTTCCTGTAGTCCATAAGCCACAGGTTACATGTGATCAGCAAGAAGGCAGGTGTCCTGCAGCCTGCTACTATGGATGGAGGACCTTGGGGATGGCTGTCCATGCAGCCTGCTAGCACGTCTCTGTTATTCTTTAATCATTGATTCAGGTAAAATCTTATCCTTCTCAAGAACTCTGATGCTTTTGATGACTTGCCAGCTTAAAGCAAAACATATTTCAGGAACAGATATTTTAGGGTTTATCTATGTGAAGATAAGGAAGTGTAAGGTGTATGAAGGTCTGGGAATGTAGTTACAAAGGGCTGAGGATGGAAAGTTCTAACATGGTGGATAAATGCAAGCTATGAAGGTCTGAGAATGTAAGGTATAAAGGTCTGAAAATGGAAGGTCTAAGATGGTAATGTAAGGTGTATGAATTAAAGTTATGAAGGTCTGAGGGTAAAAAGGCTTAACTGATGATAAAGTGAGTTGAGATATTAAAAAGAATGAAATATGTTCCAGATTCCTCTATTTCTCATGCTACTGTTCATAGTCAGTTCCACAATACCACTATAGGATCATAACTACAAGGTCAAGATTAAGATGCTTTTCATTATCGTAAAAAATATCTGTCAATTTAAAAATGTTAATGCTTTCAGCCAAGTTGCTTCTAACAAGAATATGCTGCTAATGTGTCTAATACTTATGTTTCCATAAACTCTAAGGATTCTTGTAAGTTCCAGGGAGCTGAATTGGATCCAAACAAACAGGTCTAAGAGGTGTCAGGGAATTCCATACAGCCTGGACTGCGATGAAACAACCAGCTACCCCAGGACATGGCAGCACCCCAACCTTCTCAGGTCCAACAAAGATGGTCAATGCCCCCCACGTCAGCAGGAAGGAGTCTTGAGAATTCGACGCCCTTATACCTTAACTTGCCATGTCTAACACCCACCCTTTTTATTAATAAGTAGAGGTGGGAATAAAAGGTTCAGGCTTTAATGCTGATTGGCTCTACCTCTTTAAGAGACAGACCCCACCCCCTGATAACAGTCAGGGCACACACAGGGACGAGCCATCACCACATCACTCACCACGCCTTTACAGCCTGCGTGAGGACTCTGGGCATGCGTGTCTTCCCTTTAAAAGTTCCAACTTCCCTGCTTCACTCTGTCTCTGCTTCTTCTTCGCTCTGCTCTTCTCTTCTCCTCTCTCTGTTTGCTTCTGCTTCTGCTTCTCTTCTCTCTATGGTGACCAGCCATGGCAGTCAGCCATTAACTCTGTTTCTCTTCTCTCTTAGTCTCCCTACTCTGTTGGGCCTAATAATAAACTGGTTAAAATGTCTCATCTTGTGCCTTTTCTTTTTCTTTATATTTAATTTAAACAAAAACATAACAGCCTGCATATGTCCCAATATCTTCTCTCTTTCCCCGCAATGCACTTTTCACAAATAACCCTAAATGTAGTGAGTTACTTAAAATTGTCTCTAGTGTCTCTTGTCTGTCTGCATGATTGTGTGGGTTTGTGCATATAAGTGTGCAACGTCACTGTTTTTCTAAACTATTTGAACTCTTATTATCGTTTGTATTTGAGACATTGTCATTCACTGCCTAGGCTAGGTCTGAACTGGGCTCTACTCATCTTTTGCCTCAGGCTTTAGTGTTCTGGAGTCACAGGCAGATCAACCCACAACTGGGCAGTTGGAGAAGATATAAAAAATGAGATAAACCTGTTAACAAATATACCATCTAAGAGAATCAATTTCCAGTCTCAATGAACTCCTAATGTACTATTCTACCCTGAAATAAGCTTCATTAATAAAGGGCACCTCAGTGTCTTCCTCTGGGCTCTGAGAATGAGCATAGTGTACATACATACATACATACATACATACATACATACCAGTGAACATACATGACACAGATGAAACATGTATGTTATACACATACATACACACATATACCACACTCACCTATGCACAATACCACACACACACACACACACAAACACACATTCCCATGTGTGTGGGGTCTGACTTATCCCACATCTGTGACAGTAACTGAACTCTTCTGGATGGTGACATGGCTGCGGTCCTGCTATAGGAGGAAAGGAAATGTGATTAAGGCATGGAAAAGTTCTTTATTGAAACTACTTATTTTTTCCATTATACCAGAAGAGTACCTTGTATGACCCAGGCTGGCTCACATAACCCAGGATGTTCCTCCTTATCCTCCTACCACTACCCCCCCAGTACTAAGTTATAGGCAAACAGATTTCAGTAGCACAGAGAATTGAACCCAGGACCTCGTGCTTGAAAGACAAGAACTCTCCCAAATGAACCACATCCCCAGACATAGGTCTCTGATTTAAGAAGCACACTAAAGGGTGGTGGTTCCCAGCCTAAAGGTGAGATCATAATGTCAGTAAAAGTTATGGCAATGGGTCTGGGACCCACCACTCCCACCTAACTCTCCTCATGGTTGGAGTCAGCAACTTCCCATTTGTCTTCGTACAGAGCCACTTGTGAAATATTCGTTACTAAAAGGGACCAGTGAGTTCACCATAGTATTGGAGTCATGTGGATCAGTGCTAAAGGTGACCTAATGATCCCAAGGGTGTGCTCACATGTGGCAGACAAAGGCTTACAGATTTATCAGTCTAACATAGTCTGGCTAGATAGCTTCAGCTGTCCCCAAACTGGTGACCCTCCCGCTGCAGCTTACCAAGTGCTGGCATTATAGGTATGTCTCACCATAGCCAGGTTTGGAAAAGGTCTTTACATTGGGAACCTGGACACTGGAATTCCAGGCAGTGTGTGTGTGTGTGTGTGTGTGTGTGTGTGTGTGTGTGTGTGTGTGCGCAATCTCTTATTTCAACGTTCAGTTACATAAACATTATTATATCCTAAGATAGAGCTATGTCTTTGTGAACAGATCTGTCAATTGCTGTTCTACTTCTTAGAATCAATGCTCAGATTTCAGGATCTTAGCCATCCTTGGGTCTTTGTGGCTGCATCCCTGGCTCTTACATATTCTATGGGACAGGCTTCTGGTTCTCTCACTATGTTGCTGCATTTCAGCTGAATCTAAACTCAATGAAAAGATCAGGGCTGGTGTGCAGTAAAGTGCCAGAATCTCATTGATCTGAGGCACATTGAGAACTAACTCATCACGCTAAGTGTGTTATAAAGGATGCCACCTGGGAGAAGAAACCACTTCCTAGGCAGGTGAGATCCTAGGCAAAATTCCAGAATCAAATACATTTAATTAATGGCTTTTTCTTTTGCATTCAAATCACTGACTGAAAGAAACATAGTAACTGACATTGATGAAGAACAAAGTAACATTTAATAAGCATCAAGTAAGTTAATGAACTCCATACTTTGTCTGTTACTTATTTCCCCACGTTACTGGGGATGGAGTCCAGGCCTCAAGCATGCTGAGCTCACACTCTGCCCCTGAGCCACACCCAGTCCTAATCCTTTATCCTCTCAGCAGCCTGTAAAGTACATAGTGTTAATATCCCCAGATACTAGGAAAGGGGACAGGGAAAGCCAGGGTCCTCACAGACAGTCAAAGACCAGGTTTCAAATCTGAGAAAACCCATTTCCACTGCCCACTGCTTCCTAGATACACGGTCGTTGTGCATTTCTAGGATGGTGAGTGCTGAGGCTGAATTTGCAAGTATCAGTCCCATGTCCTGCCTGCAAACATGGCTTTGGTTTCTTACAGATACGTCCACAGAAGAGATGTGTGTCCTGTTTATGGGGATGGAACCCCCTGGTGGTCAGAATGTTGTTTCTTCCCAACCAAAAGGCATCAGTGTGAAAGCTCCAATTCTGAAATGAGAAAAAGCAGACTCACAGTCAGAAGCTATGTCCCCACACCACCTCCCCGTTTCCCTTCTCCATCTTTCTATCCTCCTTTCTCCCTTCTTTCCCTTTCTCTGTATCAGTCTCTCTGTCTGTCTTGTCGACTCTTTGGCCAACCTATGCAGATCTTGTCAGCTGGACCTGGGATCTGAGTACATGGAAACTGGGACAGACTACAGTCTAATGTTGCAGACAACCTTACTTCAGTTTCAGTGTGCCTTTATGCATGGATGTGCCAAAGAAAGCTATGATTTAAGGAATGTTGTGTGAGTTCAGAAAAACAGGATCAGAAAAACATGTAAATAAATGTCAATAAACACACACTAAATATTAACAGAGCAGCCCTTTCCCAGAACATCCTCAGGACAGACCAATTTAAACACAATTGCTTGGCTCAGACTATAGATTGTATCTGGGAAAGCACGAAAGCAGGGCAGAAGGCCATGTACAGATTCAGGATACACTGACCAGAACGGGTTCTACAGCTATGTTCTGACATCCAACAAGAACAAACATGTCTTTTAAGTTCCATGTAAATGTTTATCACAGGAGGCATGAAATCACATCCAAGAGCAATCCAGGGAACAAGATGCACTGAGGTGAAAGGCCCTCTGCCTTCTTCCCTAGAGCCTCTGTCCCAGTTCCCTAAGGCATTGTTCGCCGTGGATCATTCTTTTTTCTTTCATTTTTTATTTGAATTAGAAACAAGTTTGTTTTACATGTCAATCCCAGTTCTCTCTCCCTCCCCTCCTCCCCTACCACCCACCCACAACTAAAACCCTACCTATCCCATACCCTTTCTGCTCCCCAGGGAGGGTGAGGCCTTCCATAGGGGGGCTTCAGAGTCTGTCATATCCTTTGGGATGGGGCCTAGGCCCACCCCCGTGTCTAGGCTCAGGGAGTATCCCTCTATGTGGAATGGGCTCCCAAAGTCCACACGTATGCTAGGGATAAGTACTGATCTACTATAAAAGGCCCCATAGATTTCTGAGGTCTCCTCACTGACTCCCACGTTCCTGGGGTCTGGATCAGTCCCATGCTGGTTTCCCAGCTATCAGTCTGGGGACCAAGAGTTCCCCGATGTTCAGGTCAGCTGTTTCTGTGGGTTTCACCAGCCTGGTCTGGACCCTTTTGCTCTTCACTCGTCCTTCTCTGCAACTGGATTCCAGTTCAGTTCAGTGATTAGCTGTGGGTGTCTGCTTCTACTTACACCAGATTCTGGGTGAAGGCTATAGGATGGCATATAAATTAGTCATCATTCTCATTATCAGGGGAGGACATTTAAGGTAGCCTGTCCTCTGTTGCTTAGATTGTTAGTTGGTGTCATATTTGTATCTCTCCAGACTTTTCCCTATATCCTCATTTCTCTTTAAACCAATAATGATTCTCTCTATTATATTATACCTTGTTCTCTTCTGTTCTTCCCCAAAATCAACTCTTTAACCTGTGACTTTTACTATTTTTCTATCAATCTTATGTACATCATTTTCTCAGGAGATTTTGTCCCTTTCCCCTTCTCTGGGAGGCCATGTATGTCTCTCTTAGGGTCCTCCTTGTTATCTAGCTTCTCTGGTGGTGTGGATTATGGGCTGGTAATCTTTTGACTGTGTTCTCACTCTGTCTCTTTCCTCTCACTCTTCTTCCCTCTCCTTTTGTCACTACCCACCACTTCTGTTTCCTCTTTCTTTTCCCTCTCTATGTCTCCCTCCCCCTCCCTCTGTCTCTTTGAATCCCTTTCTTGTAGTGACCTAATGCAGAGTTAATTTTGAGAAAACTTTGTTAGGACAATAGTCCTCATCTCTCCTCTCCAGTTCATCACTCTTAAAGAATGATTTATATAAAAATCATAAATAGGGGCCAAGAGGAATACCAAGTCATTGTGGTTCCCTCTATGAGCTCCTCTCCTGATAATGTGCCACCACAAGTGGGCAGGACTTTTCTTCTCCATTGTCTGGCCACAGTTGACTGGGAGCTGTGACAGAATGGAGCATCATTTCTGTATGTGACCATAGGGTTTTCTTTTTAAAATTTTATTTGTTTTTTAAGTACATTGGTATTTTGCCTGCATGTATGTCTATGTGAGGGTGTCAGATACCCTAGAACAGGGGTCACAAACAGTTGTGAGCTGCCATGTGGGTACTGGAAATTGAACCTGGGTCCTCTGGAAAAGTAGCCAGTGCTCTCAACCCCTGAGCCATCTCTCCAGCCTGACCATAAGGTTTTCTAAGGAAAGTTGTGTGTAGATGCCTGGACCAAGTGGGCAAGGTCCACTTTCAACATAGGCTGGCACCACGCAGGAGGTGCGAGCTGCACAGAGCAAACAGGAGAGGAAAGGAGACCCCTGCTGGGACAGTCACATTTCCCCCCTGTCTTTAGACATCAGGACTCTAGGTATGTTGGCTTATGGATTTTGTGGATTTGTGTTTCCTAGGTCCTCATGTCTCTTTGTGTGGCTGTGACACACAAGTGCCTTTCAGATATAGACTGAGCCAAACTACCAGTATGCCAAAGTTTTGCATCTTGTAGAAACCCTGTTGTGGGAAGGCTGTGCCATGTAGACCAGTCCCTTAAGAGCTGGGGGGTTATGAGAGAATACACGTGGATTTCAAAGAATGCTGCAGACAGCCTGGGCACCCACACAGAGACTTGTCTCAAGAGCAGGCTACCTCAGAGTGTCCCCTCTCCAGCAGTACTACAGGATCGAGGTAGCCTCTTGAGACCCTGGAACTACAGAGCAATCAGTGATACTCACAGCCTGGGACAACTACAGGCTCAAGACTCTAGCTGTGAGAACACAGCCACAGTGACAATTTTTGATTTAGCTGAGTCCACTCTCCTCTTTCCTGCCTATCTATGTCTTCTGAAATGGAACTGAATACCTAACTCCTAAACCTCCACTTTATTATGCAAGTGTGTGGATTGCTGAATGCACAGGATCAAGGCTGAGCAAGGCTGACTCTCTCAACTAAATATTGCAGTTTGATTTGAAGCTCTTTCTCCTTAAAGAAGAGATATTGACTCTTGCAAGACAGGACAAGGATCATCCAGTACTTTGGAAAGTTAAAGCTGATGCTGATGTGCTGGGGGCTAAGTCCAGGCATGGTGACACACACATGGAACTTTAGAGTTTGGAAGGGAAGGAAGCAGGATCTCAAGTCAGGATGAGCCAGGCTGCAAAAACAGATGCAACAAGTGAAAAAACTTGCCAAGATAGTTAAGAACTTCCTTCCTTTTTCTTTCCGTTTTATGGTGGGAAATTACCAATATGGAGCCAGGTAGAAATACAAGGGATTTTAATAGGGAAAAAGCCTTACTTAGAGAGCGACTAGCCAGCCGGTGTGGCAGCAGTCTGTATAGCAAGCAGAAAGTGAAACCGAAACCAGAAACCAGCCACCTGACCAACTCTCACCCTACGTCACCCTGACCTTGCCCTTGAAGGCATGGTCAGGCCCACCTTTAGCCAGCCCCTGAGCAGGCATGGCTACAGCTTCCCCTACAATTCCCCTTTTAGTCTAAAAGAGGATTAAAACTTAACAGTGTAAAGTATCCAAAATTAACAATCATAAAGGTGAAATATAAGAAGATACAACAATCTGCTCATGTCACATCCTAATTATCTATTTTAACTAAACCATAAAGTCACCTGAAAGAAGTGTCCAGCCTGGACACCTTCCAATACCAACCATAAACAATAGGAAGCTATCCCTAACTAGGTGTATACACTATCCTAAGTGACAACAATGGGGAAAGGGGACACAGCATTCTCCAAGTTACTTCTGCTGCAATGGGACGATGATAGTCATGTGGGGTCCTAGGAAGAAAATGTTAGTATATTAAAAGTCTTGAATGGATTGTATCCAGTCCATGTTAGATGGGATTTGCTTGATTGAAGATCTCACTTGAAATCCCCAACTTGATTGAAGTCAGTACCCGAACCTCTGGCCGGAGTGTCAGTTGAAATGAGGCAAATTGGATCCAGTACAGTGGAAGAGGTGTGGCCCATTTTCTTTCCAGGGTGTCCAGGGATTGCTGTCAGGCAGGTCTTCATTGGCTGTGTGGGACTCAAACATAAACAGTTAGCAGAGAAATGTTTGCTTGTGTATGTACACATACTGGGAAAGGCAACCATAGGAGAATAACGGTTATTCTTGATGGAAATACCTTGATGGAAAGAGCCAAGAAAAGACAAAGACAGTCCCCAAATTCTTCTCTTATTCTGTATTACATCAATTGGCTTCTTGATACAACACAGAAACACTAAAG